ACCTAGATCCTCTGCTTAAGGTGGTGTCTGCCAGGTTTCTGCAGTGCAATTACAGTTTTTCCCTCGTAGTTTATCAATATCTTGGGAAATTTCTTAGAGACTTTGCAGCTTCAGCTCTTCAACAGACTCTCTTCATCAGAACACGCTGTCTCACGTTTTTCTCACCTATGGTCTTGCAGCCCATGGCTTCTATCATGGCCTCACAGAGGGGGGCTTTCTGTCCTGGGGGTCCCAGCCTCACTGCAGAGACCTTTTGTCTTCATTTCTTCATGAGCCAATTGAAGCTGTGCCTGCCCGCCTTGGCTGCCAGGACTCAATCTGGAAGGAGTCTTACCTCCCCATTTGACAGAAAGGGAAATTGAGGCCAAGCAGGGAGGCAGGATCCCCCAGCTCGGTGGTGACAGAGCTGGGCAAGAATGAGGCTTTTTCTCTCCAAGTTTAAGCCCCGAGCTCCACCCTCCCTCCGCTGCACACCCTTCCCCTCAAGTGTGTCTGGCAGCCCTGCTGTTCTGATAAGCAGCGATCTCCAAGCTGGTTCTGGGCATGGGTGAGGCCGAGAGAGGGCCTGGCCCCAGGCTGGCTCTCCCCTTATCTCTCAGGGTCTGCTCAAAAGCCAAAGAAGGGTGGGGAAAGGAGGAGCCGGCCTTTGGGGCAGACTCCTGGGAGTCAGGCAGAAGGCAGGCTTGGCCAGGGTAAGGTATTGAGGGCTTGGGATGCCTGGCACTGAGAAGGGTTCCAGGAGTGCCCAGGACATAGCTCAGCTCTACTTCCTGAGCTGCCTGGAGGATGTGTCCAGGAACAGGAGCTGACAGGCAGCCCTGCTCATGGCCTCTAACCCAAGCTTGAGGTGGAGGACTAGGGAGGAGGAAACCTGAGTCCTTTAAAAACAAAATAAGGACAGGGGCTCCTAAATGGAGGGATGGAAGGACGTGGTCTGTGTCCAGCCCGAGTCAGCATTTACTCACTCAGGTGCCTTGGGCCCAGCCAAAGGCCACTCCAGTCCTGCTTGTGAGCTGAATCACATTAGGAAAGGAAAACAGGGCTGGGGCTAGGGGCTTCAAGTGTCTCGGGGAGGTGTGGCGGAGGTGGCTGCCTGACTGCTCTTTGGAAAAGGAGATGGCAGGAGGGCTGTCCTGGGTCCATCCAAGTACCCATCCAAAGACCCCTTGGAGGGGCAGAGGTCCCTGCCAGGTTGGGCTCAGACCCACCTGATGTCCCTCCCCAGCCAGGGCTCTGCCCTTTCCTCTGACCCCAGCAAACATCTAGGGGTGGGCCTGGTGCTCCAGAGTGAAAGTAAAAGGTGAGCAAGGCCCAGGCCCTGCCCCAGGAAGCGTCCAGCTGGGGAACAATTCACGAGAGCAAATCCTCCCAGTTGAGGAGCAGCTGAGCTGAGGTTGGTGTAGGAAGGAGCCCTCAGCAGGGCCTGGGAGGACCCCAAAGACTGCCATGGCCACACACCAGACGTAGACAAGACCAGGGCCAGTTGAGGAGCAGCTGAGCTGAGGTTGGTGTAGGAAGGAGCCCTCAGCAGGGCCTGGGAGGGCCCCAAAGACTGCCATGGCCACACACCAGACGTAGACAAGACCAGGGACCCGAGCTGCTACCCCACTGAGCGGGTGGGGACACAGGCAGCAAGGTAAGGCGAGGAGATGGTTTTTGACAATTCAGGAAGGGGCCTGGCACGGCCAGATTGGCATCAGGCAAAGAGCTCAGCCTGCAGCATGTGTGTACATATGCAAGGTTCGGGGTTGGGGAAGGAGGCTGGGGTGAGGGTCCCAACTAGGAACCTCATCAGGTCCAGGTGGGGGCTCGCTGAGAAGGGCCAGGAGGGGCAGGATGGGCTGGGAGTTCCCAGGGCCACCTCAGTAGGCCTGAGCAAGCCAGTGGGGACGAGGCCAAGTTTCAGGCATGGACAGTCTCTGGCCTTCCCTGTTGTGGGAGGTGGGTACAGATGACATGGAGAGTTCCTTTCCTGGCTTGCAGCTGGGTGTAGGGGGTGTCCAGGCCTGCTTGGGACAGAGCCCTGGACAGAGGGGGAGGTGGCCAGGGCCTGCAGAGGGCTGTCAAGAGAGTGTCTCCAAAAGCAGGCCTGAGGGGCTCGGAGAGACCTGTGCCCGCCCACCAGGGGAAGCCAATACAAAACACAGCCTCAAGCACATCCCGCTCCGTGTGTTCTTGTGTGGGAGTAAATGTGCGTTTTTCAGGGATGGCTGTGTATTGGTGTGTCTCGTTGTGCACACTCGTCCTGCCTGCCTGGGCTTTGGGGCTCAGCTCAGTTGTGAGCCCCGGGGGCTGCTCTCCCAGGGTTCAGATGGAGACAGTGTGGAGAGCAGCCCTGCAACCCACCTGCCCCGTTCCCACCCACCCAGGACAAAGTTTTCCTGGGTGTCCCGGTAGGGCAAAGAGTCACGGGGGGCCCATTGGGAGCCCCTGTCCAGGAGGAGCTGGGGGACATGGCAGGGCACACAGTCATACCCCTGCCTCATCCAAAGAGCCTCAGTGGCCTTCTTCCTGTTCCAATCAAAGGGGCCCCCTTTCTGCTCCCTTCTGTCTCCTGCCAGCCCAGGGCCTTCAAGGAAGATAGAAGGTCAGAGTCAAGTAAAGGTGGAGGTCAGAACCCCTCATGACAGAAGCAGAAGTCTCGGGGAAACTGCCCAAGGGCACACCAATCCCCGAAGGGCAAGCCAGGGTTCAGACCTGGGCCTGCAGTCTCCAAAGCCTGGAGCGTTTTTAAGCTAGGTTTGTAAAGTCCCTGCTAATGAGCAGATCAGGTTTGGCTCCCTGCTGCTCCCCAGCTCCGAACGCAAGGAACGCAACGCTTGGCAAACAGCAGGGGCTCCGCACACCTATGCCAGATGTCCGGTCAAGGAAGGAGTGCCTTCCATCTGCAAAAACTGGGCTCTGCATGGGCCCATCCCCTCCTCCTCCTGCCCAGAGCAGATGCATGTCCCACAGAGACATGATGCCAGGGGAAACCCAGCTTGAGATAGGACATCTGCAAAGCCCAGGCTGCCTGTTCGCCCTGTGCCTCCCTGTCATCCTGGCCTCACCAACTTCTTCCCAAGCTCCAGCCACCCTCCCCGCTCCATACACTTCTGCAAAAATAATGCCACATCCCCCTCTCAGTCTATCTCCACATCTGGGAAAAGAGGAAGCTTCAACACCTGTCCTTGGGGTGAGTAGTGGCCACTGCCCCTGGCGGGCATCCTGAAGCCCTCAGAGTCTGCAGGCCCAAGCTCGGGGCTGGGGGCATCCTGGGTCACATGGGGCTAGTACTGGGCAGAGTGCACGCTGGAGGCCACTGGTCTTGAGAAGGTTCCAGAAGAGGCAGCCCTACAGCTGGGCCAGGCAGGTGCCTAGTGTTCAGGGTGAGGAAGGGAATAGCGGAGAACAGTGGAAGTTGGCGGCATGCCAGACCAGGAGCCACACTTGGGGTTTCCACCTGGGCCATCAGGGCACCAGGAGAGTGGATCTTTGTGTTTGTTTTGGGGTTTTTTTTTTTGTTGTTGTTGCCTTTTTTAAGTCAGCAGGATTATTTTGAGATCCATCTATGCTATTTTTCTTGTTGCTAAACCGAATTCCATTTTCCTTCCACCCAGCCACGTACGAGCGTCCCAGTTTCTCTACATCTTCCCAACACTTGCTATTCTGACTTTATGATTCCTCCCAGGGGGTGTGAATCCCGTGTTTGGCTTTAATCTGCATTGGCCCCATGACGCTTGCTACAGTTTGGATGTTTGTCCTCTCCAAAACTCATGTTGAAATCTGATCCCCATGTGGCAGTGTTGGGAGGTGTTTGGGACATGGGGGCAAACTCCTCACCACTCGTGAATAGATTAATACCCTCCCTCAGGGGTGAGTGAGTGAGCAGGTTGTTAAAAAGAGTCTGGCTTCTTTGGTTTCTCCCTCTGGCTTCTCTCTCGCCGTGTGAGCTCTTTGCACACGCCCACTCCCCTTCTGCTTTCTGCCTTAAGTGGAAGCAGCCTGTGGCCCTGCCAGACACAGCTGCCCAGTCACGGCCTTCCCCGCCTACAGTCTTGAGCCCAATAAGCCTCTTTTCTTTATAAATACCCAAGTGCAGATGTTCTGTTAGAGCAATACAAAACTGCCTAAGACAACACATGATGCTGAGCTCCTTCCACGAGCTCGTCGGCCCCTTATGTCCTTCTTGGACGACATTCTCCCTTCTCCTTGGGTCCTTGCTCATGGACACCCCACCTCCCCATCACAGCCCTCTCTTCCTGACTCCTGGTTCCTGCGGTGTGGTTCCAGCTGTCCCATGCCCAACATGGGTGCCCAGTGCCCAGCTCAGAAGTGCAGCCATAGGGCTGGCCCGTGGCTCACTTGGGAGCGTGTGGTGCTGAAAACACCAAGGCCACAGGTTTGGATCCCTATATAGGGATGGCCAGTTAGCTCACTTGGGAGAGCGTGGTGCTGACAACACCAAGTCAAGGGGTTAAGATCCCCTTACTGGTCATCTTTTTTTTTTTTTTTCCCTTTTTGTCTTTTTTACTGACCGGCAACGGGATCGCAACCCTCAGTGCTGCACCCGCACCTCGCTCAGCCAGTGAGCGGGAACCAGTCTCCACATGGGATCTGAACCCTCGGCGGGAGCGCCGCCGCACTCCCAAGCGGCGCACTCTCCAGTGCGCCACCGGGCTGGCCCATGGTCATCTTTTTTTTTTTCCTTTTTGTCTTTTTTTGTGTCCGGCAACGGATCACAACCCTCAGTGCTGCACCCGCACCTCGCTCAGCCAGTGAGCGGGAACCAGTCTGTATGTGGGATCTGAACCCTCGGCGGGAGCGCTGCTGCGCTCCCAAGCAGCGCACTGTAGCAGTGCGCCACCGGGCCGGCCCGTGGTCACCTTTTTTTTAAAAAAAAAGAAAGACAAAGAAGTGCAGCCCTCTCCCCCAGGCAAGCCCTTGCTAACCCCCAGCCCCGCCACCCCATGCTATCCACACTGGGCCTTGCCAACCCCATGTCTCCCCTCTCTCCACAGCCACCAGGGAGTCCGCCTTTGTCCATGCCATTGCCTCAGCCGGAGTGGCCTTTGCAGTGACGCGTTCCTGTGCGGAGGGCTCGGCTGCCATCTGTGGCTGCAGTAGCCGCCATCAGGGCTCACCGGGCGAGGGCTGGAAGTGGGGTGGCTGCAGTGAGGACATCGAGTTTGGTGGGATGGTGTCTCGGGAGTTTGCAGATGCCCGGGAGAACCGGCCAGATGCCCGCTCGGCCATGAATCGCCACAACAACGAGGCTGGACGCCAGGTATGTTTGCAGCCCCTGAGGGCCCTAGGGAAATAGGAGCTTCCTCAGCAGGGTGTAAGCCCTGGTCCCTGGAGGTGTATGGCCCAGTGGAGCAGGATGGTGGGCAGTGGGGCTGTTTATGTAGCCAGGCTGGGGGTCCGCTCACTTCCTGCCCAGGGCTGTCTGAAGCTCAGCACTGTCCAGTTGCCCCACAAGCATCCAGTGTATTCCTAGAGGGCAGCAAGCCCACCTGTGGACTTGGGGTCATCAGGAAGGAGAAGCCCCTGCACAGTACAGGGAGGGGGATATTGAGGTGGCTACAGAGCATCATGGGGAGTTCTGTGATGAGAAAATGCACACACACAAGGTGCCAAGATGTGACAGTTATTTAGGTGGGTGGAGGAAGAACCTCCCAGGCAGCCCAGAGGTGAAAGACTGCAAGTGATATAGTCTGGGTAGAGTATGGAGTGCCAAAGAACAAAGCATTTAACTGGAAAGACTGTCAGCAACTAACCTGTGAAGCACTTTGTGAGCCTTGTGTACTAGCCCAAGCAGACTACTATAACAAAGTATGTTAAACTGGGTGATTTACAAACAGCAGGGATTTATTGCTCACAGTTCTGAGACCTGGGAAGTCCAAGATCACAGCATGGCAGATTCGGTGTCTGCTGAGACCAGTTCCCTCTCTGTCTGTCTCTCTGTCTTTCTCCTGCTATGTAAGGACACGGGTTGTGGGATTGGGCATTCTCTCTCTCTTGCTTGCTCTCTTTCTCCTCTCATGTGAGGACATAGCGTTCCTCCCCTCTGGGGGATGCAGCTTTCGGGATGCCATGCTTTTGGAAGCAGAAAAACCAAGCTCTAACCTGTCAGCACCTTGATCTTGTACTTGCCAGCCTCCGGAACTATGAGAGACTACATTTCCATTCTTTATTTTATTTTATTTCTTGGCAGCTGGCGGGTACAGGGATCTGAAGCCTTGACCTTCATGTTATAACACCGGGATCTAACCAGCTGAGCTAACCAGCCAGCCCCCATTCTTTATAAATTACGCAGTCTCAGGCATTCTGTTAGCAGCACAGAAAAGACTAAGACAGGTAGCAATATGGAAAAAGATTAACTTTGACCCCCCCCCCATATGTAAAAAGCAATTACAAACCCAAATGGGAGAGGTAAAACAATCAAACATTTACAAGAAAGCATAAGAGAATATCTTTTTGGCCTTAAAGTAGGCAAAGGTTTCTTAAACAAGCCAAAAAAAATTACAGTGAAAGAAAAATGGAGTAATATGGGCTGTATTCAAATTAAGAACTTCTGTTCATAATAAGACACCACAGTGGGACTGAAAAGGCTACCCACATGGGAGGATATGTTCACATATATATCCAACAAATACATCGAGGCTATGAGATAAAAAGAGCTCTCCAGGAAGCAGAAATAGGTGGTGACGGCTCCTCTTTGCCAAAACCTGGCCACAAAAGAAAGAAGAAAATGGATATTAAACAAACTGGACTGGGTGGGGGCAGGGGATACTTTACAGATGCCCATGAGAAAAAGCCAGTGTGAGAAGGAGGGGTTCAAGCCAGGAGAAGGGACCCTCCATTCCACCTCTTCCCCACTGTTGCAGGGAAAAACATGGGTTCCTCACCCAGGCCCTGCCCAAGGCCTCTCACCTCCCATAAAGGGACCGGCTTCCTGGGCCAGTCCCCCTACCCATCCATGCTCAGGACCCCTAGCCTGTCTGCCCAGCTCATATGCAACTTCCCTGGGCAACATTTCTGGGTTCTTCAGGTCTGGATGAATATCTCACCTCCTGTACACAGCAATACATTACAGCACCTTCCTTCCTTCACTGCATGGTAGATATTATAGGGCTAGATAGAGAGGGGGCCCCCCCAGCTCCTGCCCTCTACAGGCTTTGGGTATACAGGGGAGACACATGGCACAGGTACCTGCACCATGGGAAGGGGGGTGGCACTGGGGCCCCACGGAGAGGGCTCCTGCTCTGCCTGGGAGTCCCCAAGGATTTATGGAGCAGGTGGGCTGCAGGCAAAGTGCAGGAACCCCCGGGGGGCTGTCCTGACGTTCCTGCGTGCTTTCCCCTCCTCCCCACAGGCCATCGCCAGCCACATGCATCTCAAATGTAAGTGCCACGGGCTGTCGGGCAGCTGTGAGGTGAAAACCTGCTGGTGGTCGCAGCCCGACTTCCGCGCCATTGGCGACTTCCTCAAGGACAAGTACGACAGCGCCTCGGAGATGGTGGTGGAGAAGCACCGCGAGTCGCGCGGCTGGGTGGAGACGCTGCGGCCGCGCTACACCTACTTCAAGGTGCCCACGGATCGCGACCTGGTCTACTACGAGGCCTCGCCCAACTTCTGCGAGCCCAACCCCGAGACGGGCTCCTTCGGCACGCGCGACCGCACCTGCAACGTGAGCTCGCACGGTATCGACGGCTGCGACCTGCTGTGCTGCGGCCGTGGCCACAACGCGCGCACCGAGCGGCGCAGGGAGAAGTGCCACTGCGTCTTCCACTGGTGCTGCTATGTCAGCTGCCAAGAGTGCGCGCGTGTCTACGACGTGCACACCTGCAAGTAGGCGGCGGCAGCGCACCTGGCGCGGGCTCCTGCCTGGACTGGCGAGGGCTCCCACTTGGGGGTGGGGCTCTTACTTGGGGGAGGGGCTTCTCCCTGGTGGGGCGGGGCTCCTCCCCGGACTGGCGAGGGCTCCCACCTAGGGGTGGGGCTCCTGGGTGGGTGAGACAGGGCGCCAATGGGAGCAGGACGTCTGCCTGGATGGGACAGAGTTCCTCCTGAAGGGTTGAGGTCCCTCCCAGTGGGGGTGGGGCTCTGGATGGGGCTGGGCTCTGGTGTGGGCTACTCCCTGAGGCTGGGGCTTCTCTCTGGGGGCAGGGCTCCGAGGTGGGACTGGACTGCAATGGGGATGGGGCTCCTACCTGGGGATGGGGTTTCCTTTGGAGGGGGGGCTTCTCCCTGGATAGGGTGGAGCTACAGTGGGCCGGGGCTCCTGAGCAGGGGATTTAGCCGGCCATCCCCTTCCTCCCAGCCCACCAGTAAAGTTCCCTCCGGCCACCTTAGCATCTCCTGGCGGAATGAGCCTCGGAGATCCCATGAGGCGGAGTCGGGTCCCCGCCCGCCACCCCGTGCCTCTAGGATCTGAGAGCCCCTCGCCAAGTCCCGCGCTCTGGAGTGATCCAGGCATGGGGAGGCCTGTGGCACCCCCTCCCTCAGCCTGGGACTTGCCCACGCTCCCGACCAGGAACCCTTCTGAGAAAGCCTCAGCGCCCCACCAGCCCCGGCCCCCAACTCCAATAACCAAGGTCAGTCCTGGGAGAAGCAGGCGGGGCTTCACGGAGGGAGGCTGCAGAGGGGCCTGCAGTCCTGGGCCTCTGCCCTGGCCTCGGACACCCAGCTCCTCTTCCCAGGGAATGTTCCTACGGTCGGTCCCAGCTCCCTGCCTGGCCAGCTGTGCCCGACTCTCCTTCCTCTGGTGCCATCCTTCCCCCGCCTCTCTGGGCCTCAGCCCCTTCCTCTGTTCACAGCCCCTTGTCAGGGAAAGACAGGAAGCGAGCCCAGCCCCCAAGGCTGCCCAGAGCCCCTGGCCTCTTTTGAGGTTGTTTGTGAGGTTTGGGGGACATCGGCCCTCCACCGTGCGGCGGACAGAGGACCCACAGCCCCGAGGCGAGGTGGCGTCCCTCCCCGCCCCTCGTGGCCGGGACTGACCCTCGGTCCTGCTGCTGAGGTGACGGTCGCCAGACCTGCCTGCCACCAGCCATTGTCCCAGAACCTCCAGTCGGGAGAACATCCGACTTGTCCGCCCGGCAAGGGAAGGAGAGGCCGCTGACCCCACCCTGCTGGGGCCCCACCGAGCGACCCTCAGCCTCTGCCACTGTGAACCAGCTCCCACCCTCGAGCCAGGGGGAGGAGACACGGCCCTGAGAGCCCAGAAGAGGGGACGCAGCCGTCCTCTGCCTCGAATTTTGCATTTTTGGTTTTAATTTTATTTCCGATGCTGCTATGTCTACCATACACTGGAGTTAGACGAAAAGTTGTGTTGTTTTTTTCCCTTTTCTTTCTATGAAAGAAGTTATTTTAGTCATAGCTTGTGAGTTTCAAACATGCGGAAAATAAAAAAGAAGCAACCAAACAAGCCTGTGGTTTTTGCCAGTGTCTTGGTGGCAGGTCGGCATGGTGTTGGGGACGTGGAGAAGGGGTCGGCTCAGCTCAAGGGCTGGGTCTGGGGGAACTGGGCTTGCCTGCAGGCCATGGTGGGGAGGAGGCTGTCAGCGTGCCTTGGAGGTGGCCAGAATTTCAGGGAGAAGGGATAGGGACAGCCAGGCCAAGGGAAGGAGGGGACAGCCACTTGTACCTAGACCAGAGGCAGGGCAGAAGCCTCTGATGGGAGAGCTAAAATAGGGTGGTAGGTAGGAGCCAGGTAAGGGAGCTCTGCTGCGAGCAGAACACCGTGACAGTCCCAGTGGGCGGATGGCAGGCCAAGACCCCATAGGAGTCCGTGGTTCATGGAAGACATCAGCCGAGTCACTTTCCCAAAAGTTCATATTCACTCAGCCAACATCCAAGTACCTGGGCTCTCTGGCTTTGGGGACAGTGGCCTGGCTGCTGGTGGCCTCTAAGTGTAGGATCA